GAGCCCCCTCCCCGCAGGGCTCCTGCCGGGGGGCCCCCGCAGGGGCGCGGGAGCCGTGAGAGCCCCGCGCAGTCTAGAGTAGTCGGTACAAACTGGCGCTTACAAAACAAACACGGGATGCTGCGTGCAGCACGGGGCACGTCGCCAGTGACATAACCACAGTGTGTGGCGCCGGGTGCGCGCAGGCACGTGGAGGGGGGTCACTTGTAAGTTACGCAGAGGTCTGACCCCCACGTTGTACCCCTGCAACTAATCTTGAATATGAAATGTAATTGAAAAAGTAAAATTTTAAACATGAAGGACTGCCGAGACACCTGCCCTTAAATCAGGCTCTGTGTCTGTCCAGTGTCTGTCCAGGGCCGTCTGTGGATGTTTGTTGGGTCTTCCATTAGGGAAGGGCTAAACCTGGGTTTGGAGGGAAAAAAAACCAACAACCCAGAAGGCTTGGGCCTGAGAAAAGGCCTTTGGCTTGGTGGCCCCGGGACAGCGGTTGCCAACCGGGTAGGCGGAGCCGGCGGAAGCGCTCGGGGGGCGGGGGGTGCGCGCGGAGGCGGCGGGCCCGGGGCCACCTCGCCAGGCCTTTGATGATGAGAACGTGGGGGAAGAAGATTGTACCTGGAGGGTGGAGGAGAGTTTCTTGGCGTTGTTGAATCTGTAAATTAGTTGTTGAAATTTTAAAGTTGAGTCTTGATTAGGGATGAGATTCAGGGTCCAGATTGAGAAATTGGGCTTAAAAAGAGGGCTGGAGGGCTGTTGAAGGCCCCTGGCCGGGGCAGGAGCGCTGGGATGTGTCTCTTAGGGGAGGAGATAATGCTGCATTGGACCATAATTTATCTTTTTGATATTTTATCTTCTAGAGCAGAGTTGGCCTTTCAACTCCGTGAGACTGCAGAAAGTTTCATGATCCATGCTTTGATCAAATAAAAAAACATCCGTTAAAGAGAAGTACTGAACTGTTTGACCACATAATCTTGGTGGAGGGGCATACAACTAGCTCTGTTATTATATTTTATATGCCTCTTGATAGAATAAGTATTAGTATCTACATGAAATTGAGTGTTATTGAATGTGTGCTTTCCCCAGAGATGCATGCAAGTGATTTAGGAACTAACCATGTCTTTGAAGGTTTTTATTCAAAGTGAGAACATCCAAAGCAAATCAGTGGTGATTTTCTTCTCTCTCTCTCTGTCTCTCTCTCTCTAAAGCTATCAATGAACAATGGTTTCTCAAACCAACCTGGGTTCCTGTTGAAAATATGAATTCCCTGGCCTCACTTCAAGCTTTTGAAATAAAACTCTCTCGGGGTGGAGCTCAGGAACACTAATTTCAAACACACACCATGGGATTCTCTGGCACTGAAAATTATTGATAGCCTCTGAGGTTTTTCTTTGAGATTTGGGGCTTTTTGGGGCCCCTTTAGAACAGATTTCCTTGAAGGTTATTTGAATGAATTGCTGCCCAACTTATGTAACTGAAAGTTATAATCCCTGTCTAAATTTTAATGTATTTTAAAGGAAAATTATGTGGTCATTTTTGCCTGAAAAAACATTGTTTGTGATAATAAAACCCCATTTTAGAAAAAATTAGAAGATGCAGAAGAAACAAAATTTCTTTAATTCTGTAACGAAGAAACAACCATTAGTGATTCTTTCTGGCATTTTATATGTAGAAGACATGTACACCCCACACATATAGCATAACTGAGATTATATTCTATGTACAATTTTATATTCTGTTTTTTTTTTTTTAACTTAGCTGTCATGAGCACTTTCCCATGTAGTTAAGTTTTTTAAACACCATTTTAATGAAAGGACATATTCCATCATATGGAGGTACTGTAATTAATTAAATCAGCTCCCTAATGTTAACACTGATTCTTTTCAGTTTTTGTTTATTTTAGTAATGTTGGCTGATGGAGTCAAAAGCTATTCAAATGCATTTTTAAAATCTAATTTTCACATATCTGTACTGCTTTCCTTGCCAGGAAAAGTTGACGTTTCTGAAGGATCTATTGCATTTCAGGCCCATTCTCTTATTTCAGTGGTTTTCAAACTTTAATGCGTATAAGAATTACCTGAGGAGCTTGTTAAAAATTTATTTTCCCAAGTCCTAGGCCCAGCTGCTCTGAGAGTAGGGCCTAGGAATATGCAATTTTAATAAATTCCCCTCTGTGTTAGATATAAGCACTCTTGGAACCACACTTTGGAAAATGCTTTTTAAACAAATGGCCAAACAGACTCAAAAATGTAGGTCACTTGCCCAAAGCCACTTATATATCTGTTCACAATATTTGAGTTCAGCTCTTCATGACTTCAGAGCCTTTTTTTCCCATTACCTCAGACCTCAAACCCTAATGGCTGCAGAAAGGGAACCCTGACCCCACTGCAGAGTTCTGTAGGACAGCTGAAAATGACACATAAATACACATTGAACCTCCATTAAATTGCCTGGCAGAAGTTCCTATGAATTCTGTTACGCTGCATAACATATACTGTGTAAAACAATTTCAGTGCTTTGCTTATTAAATTTAGTTCATGTTTCCTCACTGTTTTATGACAACTCTTGCTGTAAAATGGGTGATACAGGATCATCTGGCATCTCTTGCCCACAGGCGAGGACCCTGCTCCGTTGTGCTCTGTGGGTTCAGGGAGGAAGGAGCAGTCAAAGTAGAAACACCTTTCTCTGGAGTCAGGGAAGAGGAGCACTGCTTTGGAGCATTCAGTGGCAGAGGAGTGGAAGATGGTGAGTGTGACCAAAGGAAGTGCCATTTATTAGAGATAAAAGTACCCTCTACCCTTAGGAGAGTGCTGCCGTTAGTAAACCAAAGGGAGCTAGCATGAGAGTGTGCCTTTTCATTTTCAAAATCTTCCCCAAATGTAATTTTACACCCACTTAATGTTTTCCCTTCCTTATTAATCATTATTTTTTATTTTATTGCGTTCCATCTGTTTTAGTAGTGTCCTTATTATTTTAACTAGCATATCCTAGAAAGTAATTTATTATTTACCAAATTCAGCACCGACTGTGTGTCAGGTCATAGGAATACATAAATCAGCGATTCTCTTTGAGAAGTAAATTAATTTTACTGCCATATGTTGGGTTATACTCAGTTTCCAACTTTTTAAATTTTAACTTTTAATTTTTAATTAATTTTAGGCTTAAAGACAAGTTGCAAAAATGCTACAGAGAAGCCACTCAACTTCCCCTAATGTAGCCCCTTACATAACCGTAGTTCAGTTATCAATACAGTTAACTACAGACTTTATTTGAATTTCACCAGTTTTCCTGCTAATGATATATTTTTTCAAAGCATCGAAACACTTTGTTGAGTGTCGGCTTTGAATTAGTAGCTAAAGTAACAATTGCATGAAGCTAGGTTAGATGCACTGCATAATATTCTTACTTGATTTATGGACATCACTTAGCAATTTTCTGGACAGAGGTAAACTTTTTTGGTTTTTATTAAGCACATTCTATAGTACAAAGCTGTCATGAATTATATCTGTCCAGTTTAACAGTTTTGATAGCTTTTCAGACACAAATTTATTTCAAATAAATAATTGGCAAGCATAATTAATTACAAGTTAGAATAAGACTATCCCAGTGCTTTAAAACATGACTGTAACAGTGATTTATAGCTGCGAATTACTACTATAATCCCAGAAATTCAGAATTCTTTGGGTGCGAAAGTCCCCTGCTGTAATTTAGTAGACACCATCCAGAGCTTGTGTGCATATTCAAATGCTTTGATTTCCCAAGGAACAAGAAAAACTTAAACAACAACAGAAAGCCCATTTTGCTCAGAGTTGCTTCTTCCCTTCCTTTCCCCCCAACCTGGGACTCTCCTAACCAGTTTGCTAGTTACACTGTAAGATGGAAAATGGTAAAAGTTAAATCACTTTCACAGCTGCCATCAAGCTTACAACATCTACCTTATGAGTGAAGGCTTATTGTTTTACACTTTCAGACTCAACTTCTTAGAAATTAATTTAGTAACATGTGGGACGGAATGTATTACAAAAAAAATGGGAAAGCAAAGCCAGCCCACTAAACAATCACGTGCACACATGTTGATCCCCCACGCCGTTCTCAGCGCAGAGGACAAAGCAGAGACCAGGGGCCTTCCCTTTGGTAGCCGAGTGTGCTTCCACGGGAAGAGGTTTAGTTAACAGGAAGTTCTCATTGGTCCTTTAAAATACTATTGACATTCCTTGGTCTTTGGAAGCAGTGGCAAGGGGCACATCAAGATCCAGCGTTGAACAAGGGAAAAGGAGTGCCAGCTCGATTCCAAAGTCCTTTCCGTGTGTGGTCGGCACGACAGTGCCATTCACACATTCGGGCTGCTGAGAACTCTGGAGCTTTGAGAACCTGCCAGGGCTACTTCAGCAGGTGACACCGGAGAGGACGGGCTGGGATTCATGAGCTTGAGGCTTTGCACCTTGGAGGAGCACCCTTCATCCAGACGGCCTCTGAAGCAGCCGACCTGGTCTGGGGGCTCCACCAGCAGGCCCGCTCACATCCTGGCGAGCCGGGATGCGTGAATTCCAGAGCCAGGGAGCCCGGACATAGGGCCTTCTTGCTCATCCCTCCCCAGGGTTTCTAACGCACAGAATAATGAGTTTTGACAGTGAAATCAAATGAATACTATGGGAAGTGACCACGAGTACTCAGGAGTATTATGAGGAAAAGAACAACAACATTTTAAGGTACCTCTCTATCGTCTATACTGCACAACAAACAAAACAGTCTGTGTTTAACTTTAGAAATTATATTTTAAAACAAGGTTCCCATCAAAAACACACCAAACACATGTGCGCACGCACACACACACACACACACAATGACAATGACAAAAGAAAAAACCATATGAGTACTACAGGAAGGGTTCTAGGTAATACACATCAACCCTGGTGTTGGGTTCTTGAGCCAGCCCATGGCTAAGTGGGAGCACTCTGTATTAGTCTTTCAGGCACGGGGGTGCGGAGGGGGGACAACCTCAGCAACCTCGAGGTTAAACTGTTATGTACCTTATATCTACATGCGGATATTGGATTTTAAATAGGAGGCAAGCACATGTGTAAAGATGTTTCTTTACCAAATACCAGGAGATGGTTGGGGTACAAAGACAGTTAATAAAAGAAAAGAGCTATATACCTGTTGGGAGATAATATAACCTGGATTATTGTTCTTCAAATGATAAGAAGTGGTATAGAAAGGAAGTGTAATCCAAAAAAATATTACTAAAATAATCCAGAGACGTTTTCCCATTGCCCATCATGTTCCTAATACAAGTTGGAATTCAGAATGATGTGTTTTTACTTTTTATCCTTATCCAAGAATATATTTATTGATTTTAGAGAGAGAGGAAGAGAGAGGGAGAAACATTGGCTGCTTCCCATATGCGCCATGACCTGGGATCGAACCCACAACCTAGGTATGTGCCCTGATCAGAAATTGAACCCTCAGCCTTTTGGTGTAGGGGATAACAGTCCAGCCAACTGAGCTACCTGGCCAGGGCTGTGAGTCTATTTTTAAACAGGTTCTGATCCCACCCTCTTTCTGAAAGTCCATTCCACAGAAGGTCAGTTTGCACCATTCGTTCGGTCAGCTTCTTCCAGAGCATTCCTTCAGAGATCACTTGCTGCCGTTCTTTACATAGCAGCTCTGCCGCATGCAGAGACCTGGCTTCCAAGTAGGAAAGAATGTTTCCTGCTATGTAATCTAAGCCTTGCTGTGGTAAAGCAATAATGAAGTCCCCATGCACTATGGGCTTCACGTATGAGTTAATATGTCCATGCTGGTAACGACATTCGGGATACAAGGTGCTCCACAACTTCCATTTGATCTGATTCAGATCACTGGTCAAAATATTTAATATACAGGTTTTTTCTGTTTTAATAGTTTCCTCCTGATGGCCTCTTTTTGGAGATGATCACAGATGACATTCTATTACTTACCTGGAAAATATTTTGTACTTCACATCCACCAATCCAGAATGAATGGGGGTATTCCCTTTCATTGGGAATGAAAAGGAATGTCTAGTCTGAGAAAAGACATCAGTCAAGCAGTTCCCAAGATTCTTTCCATTTACTGTATCCAGCTTTCTTCAACAAATCCCACACATGCACTTCAGCAACTGTCGAAAGACAGAAAGCAATCCATATACCCACCGTAGCGTCAGTGGCAAAGGATAGCCACCAAGAAATGGAAGGAAGGGTCAATGGAGTGGTGGCTCGTGAGCTCGATGGTCTTGTCCTCAGGCACCAAGTAGGGCTCCATGGTGACTCCAGAGCAGCACCTTGCTCTTCCTGGGCAGTGGAGAACAGAGGCAGGATGGCAGAGGTGGAGGCAGTAATCACACCAACTCTAGCTTCCAAATGATTTTTTTTTCTGGTTCCATATTCCATCCAGGATCCTCCTGATTGCATTTAGTTATTTCTCCTTAGTCTCACCAGTCTGAGATAGCTCCTCATTTTTTTTCTCATCTTTCATTATTTCGACCCTTTGAAGAGTACCAGTTATTTTGTAGAACCAAGTTTTGTAGGAGAGTACCAATTAGAGTTATCACTGATTCATGAAGGTGATAGGTCTTATCACTGGTGACATTAACCTCGATCACTTGGTTAAGGTGATATTTGCTAGGTTTCTCCTCTATAAAGTTAACTGTCTTTTCCTTTGTAGTTAATAATTATCCTGGGAGAGAGATTTTGAGACTATGAAAACTCTTTTTATCCTCAAATTTTCACCCACTAGTTTTAGCACCTTTTGGTGGTTCTTGTCTGCAACAGTAATTACAGTGGTGTTTGCCTAATGGTGATTTTTTTTCATCTCCTGATTCCTTATTAATTGGAAGTTTACTGTAGGAAAGAGCATATTTATTTGATCATTTATATCATTGTGAACTCATGGATATTCAGTTTATTCTGAAGGTCACAATACAACGCCATTGTCGACATAAGAAACGTCTAAATCTATAGAGGATTTTCATAAGAATTTATTTGAGCCAAACTGACAGTTGCTAGGAAGCAAGATCTCAAATGCTTTCAAGAATAAGAGTTTTGCAGTTTCTTTTATGTATTTGAAATTAAGGAGGGAACATAAGGAAGCTTACAGGAAAGTGGGAGAAAGCAAGGTGTTAGATTACAGGATAGTGAAGATTATGTACTCTCTTGAATTACCTAGTTATGACTATGTTCTCTCTCAGAGGTTACGTCTTTGAGGCGATTACTTCTGGCATTTCAAAGGCTGTTCACCTAGAGGCACAAAAACAATGGACAGGGATTATTTAATAAGCTTTCACTAACGAAGTTATAGGCCTGAGGTGTGACTACCCACCTTGACCCGCCCAGTTAGGAATTTATGATTTCTTACAGATTCTCATCCACACTATCATTATTTTCTTGCTCAGATGCTTCCAGTTTGGGCCAGTAGGAGCTCAGTCTTTGAGTTTAAATGACTCGTACATGCCAACGGCTGCCATTTCTATCCCACCGCCCCCCACCCAGGGAACCGTTGCTTGGGCTGTGGTTACTCAGAAACCAGGTAAAGGAGCTGTCATGGAGAGAATGAATACCAGAGGCCCGAGGAAGTAGGATGCTGTGTGCAGAACGGTTCTCAGGAACTCCGCAGGAGCGACAGGAGCAGCAGCTGTCAGCCTCTCCACGGGTGCTGCCCCAGAGAAACCCCAGGGAGTAGGACCACGTGCCTGGGGCCACATCATGCCCACTCTGAGGTGCCCTGTGTCTTTTGGATTACCAGATGGATTTAGAAACATCAGAGTGCTATTCTGGCACCTTTGGCGGCTGAATGGAGACCACAGCCTTTCTTTCTGGTGATTGCGTGCTTAGTAAATATTTATGGAGTGATTGCTCGCTCGTATCCCCTCCCCCACGGTGGTATAAAGTTTGTGTGTGTAAAGGAATGATACTTAGCACTCATGCTGATTTACCTTTTGTCATAGCTTGTCTTCCTTACTAGGTTTTTTCTTGTTATTATAGAAAATTTCAAGCATATACAAAAGTAGAGAGAAAAAGCAAATGAACCCTCAGGTATCTATCATTTAGCTTCAGTGCTTCTCCATATTTTCCCAATCTTATTTCATTTATTCCCTCATTTTTGGGGTGGGGCTGGCCTATTTGAAAACAAGTTACAGACATTAAAGTCTAAGAAAGGATTGAAATAAACTCTGAGTGTAAGGACTGTACCTCAACTTCCTTTGTAGTCCGTTTGTATGCCCATCACTGTGCCTGAAAATAGCTGGTGCTCAGAAAAGACTGGTTGAATTGAGAAGAGGAAAACCAAAATTATGAAAACATTATTTTGAACTAACTCTAGGGTAAACTTCTACAAAGGAAAAGGGTGGTGAGTCTTGCCCCAAAATAACTTCTTTCATGTTACCTGAATTTGTTCTCTACAGCCATGACTCCCCTTTCCTTCAAGACAGCCTTGATTGACAAAGAAAACTGTTCAAAGAGGGGTCAGGGTCTCCCAGTTTTAAAAATTTTATTATAAGTAAATCTATTGTGATCACATTTTTTCCCCAAACACCAACCAGGAGTTACCTGCCCTAAAAAGAACTTTTGTTAAGAAATCATTATCTTTTTTATTATAAAAATAACATATACTCACTGAAAGAAAAATAGGAAATTACAGAGAAACAGAAAATAAAAACCATCTGTATTTCAATATGTAACTCCATAGACAACATTATCTTGATTGGCATTCTGGTAAAATTTGAGCATGAACCACATTGGTAATTAGTTAATAAATATAGTATGTTCCTGGGAATTTACGAGGTATGTCTGTGTATATAGTCTCATTAAATTCCTGCAGCAATGGTTGTAAGATTTTTACTGTTTCCTAGCTGGGGAAACATGCCTCAAAGGATTGCCTTCAGTCACTTAGGTGATCAGCATGCTAGGCAGGAGATCTCTTGAAAGACAGTTGTGTTAGAGACTGTTCACACCTTGGATGTCAACTCACAGGACCAAGGAGACCTCACATTTGAGCTGCTTTCATGCTGTCTCCCTGTAGAGTCGGTTTTGAGGAGAGCCCCAAGATAGGAAAAGTAAGAAGTGGTTATTTTTAACTAGATCCCACATAGTCTCAATAAGTGGGTTAGCAATGAAGAGCTAATTAAGTAATTATTAAGGATGGCTCCTTGTTTTTATAAGAAATTTCTTTTCTTTGGACAAATTCCTTGGGCTGCGGTTCAGCAGTAGCAGTCTATGGTTATTCCCAGCTCACTACCCGGGTAGGTTTTTAACTCTCTAAACCACACTCCCTCCCTCTGTAAAATGTGGGGGGACGTGCGTGTGCTTTCCATTGCAGTTCTGTGATCAGAAGTCCCTTCGGGCAGGTGAGTCTCTCTGTCAGGGGCATCCCTCCACAAGCAGCTCTTAGAAAAACAATGTTCCCACTCTAAATTTTCCAAGATTGAGATTTTAATAAAAAAACGATTGGCAATCCTAGCATTTACCCTTCTTGCAATTAAGTCCACAAAGAGGTCATCTGATTGGCCCCAGGAACCTTCAGACTTACCTGGAGGGAAGAGAAGAGACCTCTCCAAAGCCCTTTGAACAGGCTAAAGGAAAGGGATAGGAGGATGCGGGGGAGAGGTAGAAGGCTGCTAAAGAAAACGGCATACTTCAAGGGTTTGTGTTAGGCACACTCAGCCCCAAGGAAAAAGACTGAAATGTCCATGTGAAGGATGTGGCAGAAGCCCACCCTGTGGAGCTGACCCCAGCTTCACCGCTTACTATGTGAATGGTCTTGGGCAAGTTCTTTAAATCTCTCTAAACCTTCATTTTCTCCTCTGTAAAATGAAGAGACTAATAATTCTTACCTTGTAAGGTTGAGATGAAAATGAAATAAGGTACAAAAGTGATTTAACCCCAATGCATGGCGCAGAGTAAATGCACAAATAAATCGCTCTCATTAGCTGTTACTGTTATGATACCATCAAGACTAAATACAGGCCATACTGTTTAATTGTTTCCTGGGTCAAATCTATTGTGGTTTGACCCAGGAACCTAACCTCCATTTATTATATTGTGTCTAGAGAGAAATAATTTCTGGGTTTCCCTCAGACTAACCTAGAGCTAAATTTTTGAAATACTACCCTTCAGCAAGTATGAGGCCATCTTGAAAGTTGCCAAGATTTTGTTTTTGTTTTTCATAGTAAATTACCACATCCCCACATCTCATTAAAACAACAACCTTGTTTTCATTATAAAAGAATAGAAGTATATCATACAAAATTCTGAAAAGAGAAAAATACACTCTTGGCTAATCCCACACTCCTGATACAATTATTGCTAGCTTTTGGCTATATTTTTTTTTCTAGAGTTTCTTCTATCATTTTAGTGGTAATCATACACATGTAGAATTTATTTTCTCTTTTGTTAAGATTTAATCATAAGCATTTCCATGTTATCACTTGGCATAGAAAATATTTTGATCTTCATTCTGTTCATGGAATTGAGGATATGTTTGGCTATAGGGATTATCGGTGCCCTGGCTTTAGCATCTCTGCATTTTTCTATCAGAATTTAGAATTCGAGGAGAGGCATGGTTTTGGCAATGCAGAGAGGATGTGCAGAGTATTGCTACTCACCAAGTAGCCTTCATCACCTTAGCGCACCCACCATGGTCCGGGTGGGCCCTCAGTTATGTGGCCTCAGAAACTAGATTTTTCTCAGTAACTAAGAGCATAGCCACCTCTCAGAGGTGAATTCATACTTAAGTATGAAATCAGCATGGCAATTTATCAAGTGACAGTGAGAAATATAATAGAATGGTGGTTTTTCAACCTCCAGTGTGTCTGCCTGTTGGCCATCCCTAATCTAGAGTTACGTAAAGTCATATAACAATGTCAGCAGTGAGCGTCACCATGTAGTGTGTGTTTCCTGTGCCTCCGGAGGTGGGCTAACACTTGATGTGTGAATACATTAGGTCATCCTGTCTCACGATAACCTCTGTGGGTAGGCACTATATTTGTCTCTGTTTTATAGATCAGAAGCCCAGGTTTCATGGCCAATATGTGGTAGAGCTGTAGTTTCTGCCAGAATGAAAACACCTGACCTTAACCAGTTTTACCTGTTGTTCTTACAGATGACTGACCACCTGTGTTGGCATTCTTTTATGTTTCTTGCCCTCTCCCCCATCTGTTGGGATGTGTCCTATGCCAGTGCCTCATTGTGAAGATCCTTGATTTTCCATCCCCTGTTGTTGAGGATCACATTTTTCTAGCTCTCACAGAGAAGAGCTCTTGTCTTGTTCTCCTTAACAAGATTTCACATGTTGTTAACCTCTTAAAGCTGTGCCAGGAAGAGGACCCTAAGGCTGTATTTTAGGCTGTGCCCAGCTCAGAACTGAAGAGGCATTTACAGTCCCTGCTTTCTCCTCCTGGGCAGCATGTGGACATGGCTTTTCTCTCTGGTGACAGACAGCCTGGGTGATGACCCAGAGAGAACTCCTGTGATGTGTAGATGGTTGGAACCTTCTACCTCAAAAATCTCTGAGTTTCTGACCTCTAAACCTTAGTTGAAGAACTCCCATTACTGTTAGGTTCCTTTGGGAATAGGTTTTCAGTTCGTGCTGACGCGAATCATTTCAGGGTAGGATTTCCATCTGAAACACATCTTTATGATTGCCTTCTAGAGATTGTCGGAGCAGAACCACTGAGCAGAAGCAGGCACTGTGTCAGTTGTCATCGAGCACGCAATCAGATCGGAAGAGTTGAACTGGTAGCTTCCTGCTGGGAGTGAAGCCGAGTGATCCATCCTGCTCACATAATAAGACATGGGCTTCCACATGACTTTCTACCCTTCCTACAAATTCCGGTTACTGTTGCTTTTTACTTTATGCCTGACAGTGGTTGGGTGGGCCACTAGTAACTACTTTGTGGTTGCTATTCAAGAGATTCCTAAAGCTAAGGATTTTATTACTAATTTCAAGAAGGCTGTGGTTTTGGGGAAGAAAGAAACTCTGATTCATGAAGCCTCTGTGAAAAGCCCAGACCTGGACAGCTGCCCCTCTGTCTCTCCACACCTCAGTAAGTATTTGTTTTCCCTTTTTACAAGTGTTACTCACACTTTTTTTATTATTTACATTTCAGAAAAGTACAAAGATCACATGTGTACAGCTTGGTGAAGTTTCACAAAATGAATATACCTTTGTAGCCATATGTAAATTAAGGGCATTTTCCTGGAATCCTAGAAGTTCCCATTCTTTCAGTCACTGCCCTTACTTCAAGATTCTAGCACCATCCATAGGTTTTTCCTGCTTTTGAACTTTGCCTAATTGGAGACATACACTGTGTACTCTTTTGTGCCTGAACTTCCATTGTTCAGTGTTATGTTTGTGAGCTATGTCCATATGTCTGATGTAGAGTCTTGCACTGTATGAACATACCCAATTTTATTATCCAGCCGCAAAAGTCTCAGTGGCATATGTCAATCGGCATTATTTAGCTCACAAGTGTGTGCGATAAGCTCGGGGTCAGTTGGTCTAGGCTGGTGGCCCTGCTCCACGTGTCTCTCATCCTTCTGGGACCAACGGGCTCGCTTGGGCATGCTCCTCTCCTGGCAGCTGCAGACCACAAGTGAGGGAATGCAACACATTCAAACCTCCAGTTGTGTCCCATCTGTACTGAGTTCATATTAGCATCCCTTTGGCCAAAAGTATGGAGTTGAGGGACAGGACTGAGTCCATCCTTCAGTATTGTGCTTAGTGTTTATTTCTTAAATATGTTATATGCTTTAATTACCCTTTGATGTCTTGCCTTTCAATTTAAATGAAAGTAAATTGGTTTTAGTGAGCACATTAGAGAGAAAAACTCCACTGCGATACTGTATATAACCCACCAAGATTCTAGCAAACCTCTGATTCTTCAGAACATTAAAGTGCTTACAGTTCGCCAGACTCTCCTTTGAGCCTGGATATTGTTCCCTGTCTCCAGGATACCTTTCCTCAGTCCATGTCTGCCTGGCGGATTCCTGTTCGCTCATGAAAAGCCTAGCTTAGATAATTTCTCTCCCCGAAAGGTTTCTGGGACTGCCCCAGGGTCAATGTTATGCTCCCTTTGTGTCTGCCTATATTTCCATTGTTGTGCTGACCAGAGTGTGCTGTTCATATGTTTGCCTTTTGTCCCCAGGGCACAGTTTGCAGGCAGGATGAGGTTAGGGTGAACCTTTCCAATCTGCAGTCCAGTGTCCCTCACTTGTCCTGCAGAGGTGGCTCTCTGCATACACTAAATTCACTCTCTGTGGGGCAGCCTGGGGCTCTTTGGAGGCTTTTTGCTCTTAACTTGACAAAAACCTGCAGACCTGCTTTCCTAATTGAATCGCAGTCTTGTACTGAGTTCATATTGGCATGCTACCTCTCTTTACCTAGTCATGGAAAAGGTAAAAGGGTATCCCCAATTCTGTGAGGGAATTAGTCTGCTCACAAATGACACAGTTGAGACAGGAAAATAAGTTATTGAAAGGCAGATCTGATGATATTCTCCTCCTCGTTCAAATCCTCACAACGTATTTAAGCAATAACTGTGTTTATAAAGATAGATGGGCAGTGACACAAAACTGAGCAAGGACCTGGATTAAGAGGGTGACATAATTAGTAATGGATGAAGATGGGCCAGAAGGAACAAAACTTGAGAGGATGTCATGAAGGGGAAGGGAGACTCATAGAAGATGTGGAAGCAGGTCCTAGAAGGTTAGGCCCATAAAAAGTTATGACAGTGGGGAAGTGAGCAAGGGGACTGGTTTATATCAGATTTATTGCATGGGGCTCTTTCAGGGGCCAAGAGTAGAGACATAGTAGGTTAACTTGGGTGACGGGGTTTATTAACAGGCTACACAGTAAACCAGCTCAACAGCCACAGCACCATCATCTCCCAGCTGCTCTGTGGCCTGGCAGCTTGCCTCCCGCATTATTCCTTTACTTTGTGTTTGCTTTTAGGGCATCACTGCCTTGCCGACTCAATCTCACATGCAGAGTCTTAAGGAAAGGCTCTTTCCTGAAGGCCAGTTGCTTTCTCCAGGTGGCTGGAAACAGTAATTTGCTCTTGGTGCTCTAGGGCAGAGTCCTTTAACTACTTCATGGACACTAGAGCCTGGCCTTAGCAGCCAGGGCCAGGGTAGGGGATGGTCACAGGGAGCAAAACACCATGACATAATAGGAAGGGTTTGCGATTGCTTTGCTTAGAAGAGGAGAGCACAGCTTGCAAGCAACTTGAGATTTTACAGCCTGACCAGTGTATATGGAGTTTGAACAAAGTGTGGCTCAGTTCCTTAACTGAGCTCTGCCTCCTTTCTTACCAGTCAGTGTTCCCTGTTAATTCAGATCCAAGAGGAAGGTCAGAGGCTTCAGTCTGATCTTTAAAGCCTTGCATGAGCTTGGCTACCATGGACGACTTTGGGCTTTCATCCAGCCAGGCTGCATCCAGACTCGCAGAGCAAATGCCGCATTGGAGAGGTCTGCTACCATGGCCCAATGGGGCAATGCTGGCTCTGTTGCACATCCCTGCTACTGCTGGGTTAGGGAGTGAGGCTAGTTTCTACATCCTTGTGCTGTTTTACCTCCAGGGAGCTAGGATAGCTTCTAAGAACTCAGGAAAGAAGTGGGAAAGGGGTCTTGTCCATGAGCTTGATTCCATGGAATGCTCTTGAGTTTTTGAGAAGCTTCACCCTTCTTCGGAATTTTGAGAGGGAAAAGCAGATAGAGCACATTTGAAGTTAGTCTAGTCCTACCCTCTGCTTTTCACCTCGGTCATCTGGACAGAATGCATTTCTAATTTATGGATGAATCACAGAGCCGAAGTTGGTTATCCAGCCACAAGGGAATGCTCTTATATGTCATTTTCTTGCTTTTGTAGCCAATAACCCGAGTCACATGGTTCTGTGGTTGTTGTTTATGACCAAATGAGGTTTTGAAATAGTAATAAAAGTTAGCACTCCTACAGTGCTCACTGGGTGCCGGGCAATGTTCTAAGTGCGTACATGCGTACTAGCCCATGTCAGCCTATCAACACTTGATGAGATAGCTACTCTTGTTTCTTGTGTCCTGTTTTGATTGTAGGAGGTCAAGACAAGCTCATTTTCAAACCAGATCTTACTCTGGAAGACGTGCAGGCAGAAAATCCCAAAGTACACAGAGGCCGGTATCACCCTGAGGAATGTAAGGCCCTGCAGCGGGTCGCCATCCTCATTCCACACCGGAACCGAGAGAGACACCTGACGTACCTGCTGGAGCACCTCCATCCCTTCTTGCAGAGACAGCAGCTGGAGTATGGCATCTACATCATCCACCAGGTGAGCGTGGGCACGGAGCAAGGGCCCTGCCTCAGAGCCCCTCTCTCTGAGGGGCTTGGCCCTTCGTCTTGGTGAGAAGGAGCGTCAGACAATTGTTAAAGAAGAGGTCTCTTGCCTGGTTCATCCTTGAAAGGAGTGAAGGAAATTCTTGTCCCAGATTGTTGCATAATAAGACTAAAAGCTGGGAAATTTTATTGCCTCTTAAATAAACCTCTGGAGGAAGCCTGTTTTGTTGTGAGCCCTTCCATGTTAGCCAATGGCTGCCCTACAGTTTCCCCCAGAGAGCCTTACATCTCCCTCTGCCTTTGCTGTACTCTACACAGTTAGATGTTGGAATTGTTTTGCATTCCTGAGCGTAGCTACTCACTGGGGATCTAGACAGGGAATTTGACGGACTACTGCGTGTTAAGAGCCATGGAGTTCTATGACCCTCTCCACCATTCTGCCTTTAATTTTGCCACTGTTTATCATGTAAAACACTCTTTTGTTTGTTTTCACTTTCTTTTTTAAAAAAATATATCTTTATTGATTTCAGAGAGTGGAAAGGAGAGGGAGGGAGAGAGATTGAAACATCAATGATGAGAGAGTCATTGATCGGCCGCCTCCTGCACGCCCCCAACCAGGGATCGAACCCCAATCGCCTGGATCCTAGGTCAATGCTCAACCGCTGAGCCATGCCCGACTGGGCTGTTTTCACTTTCTTGATTTACTTATTTGGCTTCCATGATTTAGTAGGAGCACAGTAAGTGTGTTAGGTGCTTTTGAAGAATTTAGCTCTAAGTGGAGTGGATAAATAAAGATGTCTTTATTTGGTGTTAATTAAAGAAAAATAAAGCATCAACTTAAATATCCGTGACTAGCTTTTCAAAATTGCCTTGGGCCATCCAAATAATTTCCCCTCAAATCCTAAATTTTAAAATGCTAGCAAAATTATTAATTCCATCCTTACTATTGGTTATATTCAGTAATACTTGTTTTATGAAAACTTTTGACACATCAGAAGATACAGCTCTGCAATGTATATTTTATAATAAACTGGGGCTCTTGAAAATTAATGTGTATTTATAATGCAAATATGCCTATTATTTTATTATTTATTTATTATTTTTAAAAAATGTATCTTTATTGATTTTAGAGAGAGGAAGGGAGAGAGAGAGAGAGAGAGGAACATCAACGATGAGAGAGTCATTGATCGGCTGCCTCCTGCACGCCCCCAACTGGGGATGGAGCCCGCAACCCGGGCATGTGCCCTGACTGGTAATCGATCCTCAATCTCCTGGATCCTAGGTCGATGCTCAACCTCCGAGCCATGCCCGGCCAGGCAATGCCTATTATTTTAATATTTGAAACAAAACTTTACTATTATTACATTGTTTTATAATTATTTTTGTTTTTAACATTGTTAGTCATTCTGAGTTCCTTCTCAGGACAGCCACTCCCAGTGTCTATATTTTTATGAGTAGAAAAATATGTCTGCTTTGTCCTGTTCTTTTCAGGGAAGTACTGTGGTAACTTTTGAGAGCACTGCCTTTATTTTTGTTACAATAAACTATTTACTGAACTGGAATTTATCCTGAAGGAATTTGATCCAAACAGCCATGAAAAAAATTAATACTGTAAAATCTTTTTTGTGCTGTACCTCTGGTCTTGTTATTGGTCAAAATGTGTTCTTTTCTAACCCAGTGACTATTCCTCTCTGTAGAGTCTCTGTGGGGATTAGCTTCTGCTGTTAGGTATTAAAACAGGATTCTCTTACTTGCAGTGATTCCAAGAGATTTTTAAGTAGCTTAGAAATACCAGCAATAACCTCCTCTGTTTATAGGTCGCGAGTTCTCCATCCTTTCTGGCCAGCTATATCTCTTGGAAGCTTAGTGTAAATTGATTACATAGGATAAGACTGACATGAGTTGAGAGTTGAACAGTGAAGCAGTGGTACTTATCAGTCTGACTAGTATTTAGGAAAGGTTTTATAGTTTCCCACGGAATAAATAAAGGTATGCTTTTAAATTTTTTTCAGTTGTTTTTATTTGTATTTTAAAATTTTGGGACCTTGAGAGCTTGTTTGGAGGTTCCAGCAGAGGAGCGCAGCTACTCATATACCCTTGACCGAAGAACAGTCCTCTTTCCTGCTGGGGAACGTCGTCCTCCTGACCGAGCATGCAGCTTTGGAAGGGATGTATCCACCTAGGCAGCCAGATCAGCCGAATCAACCCTGGCGAGCAGTTGGGTGACAGATGTCGCAGCCAGATTGCCCTCATATCTACTTGAAATATATATTACATATAACATATATAATAAAATAAAATTATGGGTTTTTAAAAATTGTGGTAAATTATGCACAACATACAATTCACCACTTTAACTATTTTTAAGTGTACAGTTCAGTAGTGTTAAGTATATTATTGTGCACCCAGTCTCTAGACTTTTTCATCTTGTAAAACTGAGATTCTAGACCCATTAAATGACAACTCCCCATTTCAAGGTATGTTTTAAAGTTATGGAATTTAAGTATGCATGAAACATAAAGAAACAAACTGTCTTATTGTTATTGCATCTACTGTCGCTTCTTCATGTCCAGTTACAGTCGTGTGTAGCAGGAGTAATTCCTGCCAGCTCCTGCATCTGAACTGAAGGGGATACAATGTGAAACTGTGTCTCAGGAGCTTTTCAACTTTTAATTTCCCCGTCTACAGGCTGGAAGTAAAAAGTTTAATCGAGCCAAACTCTTGAATGTGGGCTATATAGAAGCTCTCAAGGATGAAAATTGGGACTGCTTTATATTCCATGATGTGGACCTGGTGCCCGAGAACGACCTGAATCTTTACAAGTGTGAGGATCAGCCCAAGCACCTGGTGGTGGGCAGGAACAGCACTGGGTACAGGTAAGGTGGCTGTGCATGGCCTGCTGAGCTGGAGAAGCATGCCCTGCTGTCACCGAGGCTGTGCGAGATGTCGTGTGCAGAGTGTCTTAGGAAAATGAGAAATAGGAAAAATAGTGCATGACATATCACTTAAAGTTCAAAACAGGAATTTGAGAAATCAGGTTTTTCCTTTTAAGAAAAAGCCCTACAGACAGGGTTGGCAGAGGAACCCAAAGACAAAAGGGAAAGAACAGGAGAGGGAAAATAATGCAGGCATTGCAAACCAGGGCCAGCCTCACTTGCAGCATCCACACAGTGGAGCTTTTTCAAGCTGTTGCCCACTGCAGAATCAAGTAATTACCTGTCTACCCTTGACTTCCCCTCTAGGAGGAACAAAAGCCTGCCCCTTAATTCAATTTTTAGGTCTCTGTTGTAAGAATGTGACATCTCTTTGCAGATGGTGGCATCTTTCCGGATTCTGAGGGGCAGTGGGGAGGGGAGTATCCACTGAGTAGTCTGCACAGGGACCAGAACACCCAGGACAAGATCCTTCTCTCACAGCCACTGTGGGAAGTGCTGGGTCCCCCATTTCTGTCTTCATTCCCCATTTCTTGTGCCCCCCAGGAGAGGCATAGCTGCTTTTCAACCTTATTTTTATACCAGCTCCTATTTAAGCACAGCCAAGAGGAAATAGTGACCAAGAAAATTCTCTATGAATGTAACTATATATTTGCTTATGTGTGTGCACACTTACCTATCAGCTGCCCCCAGGCCCTGCCATTCACAGGGGCTCATACCTATAGTTCTTACTGTGCTCTGGGCTATGAGACCAATTTGAATAGGCCCAGTGCCTGCCCTCAAAGGGCTCCCTTCCCTGTTGTGTGTTGGTGGGGAGACATCTACAGTGGAGTTGCATCAATTTTGCACTTAACTTTTGCAAATTTAACTATAAGCACTTGGTAATGAGGGAGGAAAGCTTGGGGAGGAAAGCTTTGGGAGGAGAAAAAGCTTTGGGGCTGGGGGAAGATGCCATGTGCCTAAATGAGGGCAGGTGCAGGTGGGGCCTCAAGCCTTGGGAGGGTTCTAGAAGAGAATCATAGGATTATTTTCCTTTGGAGAACTTGATCTTTGGATCTGAATATCATTATCTGGAGGTTTTGTTTTCTGGCCTCTGAGCCACCTCTGCTTTGGAGAAAGCAGCATATTGTGGCTGGGCACCTTGCTATTTTCAGGAGCATGTCAAACCATCTGTTCACTTATTGTGTAAGTTTTCGCTATCTACAGCACAGAATACCTGTATGTTGGACCCCTGACATAGATGATAATTAAACATCTGTGTAGAGAAATTAAATCAAACAGGATTTTTTTTCCCCCCAAGTGCAGATAACAGAATTGTTTTAAGGACAGGGCTTTTGTTGGAATTCTAGATTTTATCTTTGTGTTAGGCTGGACCAGAAGAAACTGAGTTCTCAGGCATTCCTGCTGGGAATTGATTTTGAATAAAACTTCAGTGTCACAATCATGGGTTTCATCAGAGGCTACTCACTCTAAAAACAGCCCCTGTGTGAATCTTACTGTTTTAACTTGCTGTTACAACAGACATTTCTTTTATAACTAACAACCTGAAAGCCTTTGTCTTCCTTGAGTAACGGGCAGGTTTTCTTAATGTGAATCAGGGGATTGAATGTACCCTCTCTTTTCTTCTGGATGCGAGAAGTTCTGAGCCAAATCTATCTCCGCCTTTGTAAAGCTGAAAAGAATTTTATTTGCAGATCGAGTTCTAATATATTTCTCACTTTAATCTTTTCTGATTTAAGTTTTCCTCTGTTCCTGGTTTGTCATGTATATGTATTTTGCTTTGTTATATGTATCATGTAAATTGCCTCATCTTCTGTGGCCAGGGAGAGACATACATTAATAATGATCCAAACCCCCCCCCCCACCTTTGCTACTTTGGGTGGAATCTTTCCATAGCTGGCAGCTATGGGGCTGGTAGCTAAGTGTCTGCTCCGTGCTGGTAACTGTGTGTCACTGCACCACAGAACTTAAATCAGCACGCGCTTTATTCATTGGCACAACAGTCGCATGGGCGTGATAAGTGCAAGAAATGTTTTCACTTTACACCCATGCAGAGAGGAGTTAGACTGTTGCCCCAACGGTCCCAGATTCTGATGAAGCCAGAAATCAATCTTGTTTCTCCCACTGACCATGGGTCAGTGATAAAGCTCTGGACCAGCCTGTGGCAAGTGATACGGCCAAGAATTCCTCTAGTACCTGCCTGCTTTCTACTGGACTCTACTGTTATTTTATGACTACGTCTGCCCAATCTTATTGCTCTTTAAGAAGAAATAAAACTGTCCCAGGGCCAATTAAATAGTTGTGCGTTTCCAGATGAGAAGAAAAACTAAAAGCAAAGATCAATAAACACATAGACGCTTGCCATCCAGGAGGCCACTGAGCAGTGGAGTTCTGTAACCTTCCTTTCCCGCTCCTCTCTGCCTTCACTTCTCACTGCGGCTCAGCTGGTCTCCAGGTGCTGCTCAGACTGTCTGCCCTTTTCTTCCTCTTTCCTTTTCCACATGGGGTTTTGGCCACCTAGAGGTCCCCCATTTTTCTACCTACCCGAATCCTCCAATGTGTGGCATCTCCTTCCTCAGAACCCTAACAATGCTCACCTCTTGTTAGACTATAAACTCTTTGAGGGCAGGGCCCAGGGATTACAGTGTTTGGCCAGCTGCCTTGCTCACGGTGCACAGTTGTTACTGAATAGGTCACTATCAGATCATCAGTATTGGGTTTCTCCTGGTGACCCCTCCGTGGTGCTTGGCAAGTTAGGTCTGGGCAGTGCTTCTACTCTGTCCTGATGGAGCTACTGGCCTTTAGGTAGTTAAGAATCCCTTCCCACTCCAAGCCCAATAACCACGGCAACAGGTCACCGTCTTAGGTGTCTTGGGCAGTAATAGCTGCCTTCTGAGCACTTTATGTCCTTTCGTTTGTTCCAGTTAAAATAACACCATTTTCCAGAAGTTTAGGTTGAGGGTATATGAGTAAATCTGTTTCCATTATGGGTTAAACAGGGTCCTCCCCTGTGCTAGAACATAGAAACAATCGGTTGAACCACAAATTACCTTTTGGGACTCCAACTGTTAGATGGCAAGTGTCTATGTGTTTATTGATCTCTCCTTTTGGGTTTTTTTTTTCTTTTTCTTATCTGGAAAATCAGAATATTTCATAGGTCCTGGAGCACTTTGCATGGAAATTCATTAAAGTTAGAAATCCTTTATATATTCACATCCTTTTATTCAGTCACATTGAAGTTATTAAGCTGCCTTCATTTGCATTTCTGAATTGTTACGTTTTTGTCTTCAGGGATATCTTTATTTCTCAGATTTGCTCATTGGTCTACCAGTATCACTAGAGGGCTGTGTGACTGGGAGGCACCCTCTCACTGGTCCCTTCTGATCTCTTCTCTTTTCCCCTTTCCTTGTGGGTGTCCCCATGGCTCCACTTTCTGCCCTCTTCTCACGTGCTATATTGTCCTTGGCAGTGTATTTCTCCTGCTCCGGCCCTCCAAGTACCGCCTCTTGACAGCTTATTTCCACTGCTGTATCTTTAGCCTCTCTTCTCTTTTGAGCTTGGACCTCATATCTTTTTGACCGCTGGCAAAAGCCCCAGGGGTATCTCAGATTCCACTTATCCAAAACATAATTTACTGTCTTCCTTTCAAAACCTAATTATTGTTCCATATACTCTCCTTTTGTGAAAGACACTGTTATCTACCCAATTGCTCAAACCAGGAACATCAGGTTAGTTGAAGTGTATTGGGTTCTTCAGGAAACAGACTGAGATGGAACTTTGCATGTGTGGAAGTGGAGATTTGCACACCAAGTGTGTGTGGGAGCTGTTTCCTGCTCTCTACCCACCTCTCTCAAAAAAAGTTAAAGTAGAAAAACAGTATATTCTCTAGGATACTTATTCATGCTGAACCTGGATGCAGCCTTCTTAACCTAGTGCCCTGTAGCTATGACCATTACTTGGATTGGCACATGAGATGAAATCTGTCACCCACATCTGATGTTGTGGTGCAGACTTATAGGTACCTCTGTAGACCTCTGCACACAGACATTGAACATTAACAAGAACAGGTGGGTGGCACCTTGCTTAGCGAGGAGATGCGAGCACTTGTCTAGACAGGAATGCGGGCCCGAGCAAGGCCAGGGGTGTTGGGAGGCGGGTGCCCAGCTGGAACGGATGGGCGGAGTGCGTGGCGTTCAGGGTGGTCCTAGAATGCCAGCCCTGACTCAGAGACTTCTCAAGTGTCTGTGGAGAACAAGAAGGCTTTGTGCTAACGTACTTACCTTCTCTCTCCTCTCTTCTGCTCCAGGTTGCGTTACAATGGATATTTTGGGGGCGTCACTGCCCTAAGGAGAGAGCAGTTTTTCAAGGTGAATGGATTCTCTAACAACTACTGGGGCTGGGGAGGCGAAGACGATGACCTCAGACTCAGGTGAACAACAGGAACGGGTCCCCTTCACGGGGCCCTGCCGTCAGCGATGGCTCTGGAAACCCACGTGTTACAGTTCCTATAGATGCCAGCCCAGCAGGGCATGAGGCTGTGGGGTGGCAGGGGCGGAGGGAGGGCAGGATGCCCCAAATTGCTTTTGGCCACGAGTGTGGAAATGATGGAAGGTGGCCTGTTCCTAGCCCATGGACGTAGGGCCCACAGTGTTGATGGAGGTCTCTGTGGACTTACCAGTGGGTATTGCTTACTGAGAAGGGCCTCACCAATGAACAAAAAGCTGCAATTTGAGGAAAGTGGCCAGAGGGCTCGTTATAAGCTTATGCGCTCTCTCAGACCCCAGGGAACCCTGCCCAATTCCCCGTGCCCAGAACAGGAATTGCCAGCAGCCTGTGATGAAGTGCACTCCACGAAGCAGGCCGGCCACGATGTCCTCTCTTTTAGGCATTCGCCAGCCCCGCAAACTGTGGGAGCCTGTCTCTCAGGCCAGCCTCCGGGCTGCTGGCATTATCCTCAGTGTTCCGGGACTACTCTCTGCTCTGAACTTGAGTTTCATGGCCAGATAGGTATCCCTACCTCCCAGAAATAAGTAATTATTCAAGAGACTGCAGCCAGTATCTTCAGACTTGCAATAACACGGTCTTCCCTGGCTAGCAGGGGACCCCGTTTCCTCCTGCTCTTGTCTGTTGGAAAGGAAGTTTCTCAGCTGGGGTTCTGAGTTAATAGATATGTGACTGTCAGGACTTTTTCCTTGTTTTAGCATAAAGAAGCCAGAGCTTCCTGCTCATCTTGTTCCCTTGTGTAGGCTGAGAGTCTCTGGGGTGTTTCTGGCAGGAGGGGAGGGGTTTCCCTGACCAAAGTCTGCATAGAATGGTCATGTGTGGCCATGTGACGGGCAACTGCTCTTCAAGGCCTGTGTGGCCAGGGCTGATGAAGTGGGCAGAGCGCACCTGCTAGATTTCAGGGCAAGAGCAGCAAAGGCTGGAGGTAAACAGTATCCATCATCTCCCCAAATCCATTTTACTGCCCAGATGGGATGGTTGGTAGAATTTTGCACTGATCATATATCATCACTGTCTTTTTTCCTGCTGCTCCTTGGCTACAAGGTCAGGGGGAGCACCAAGTTTTGCTTTTGTTTGATAAGAATGTCAGGGCCTTCAGAGTGGTTCTTGACCAATGCCATGGATAACTAAATGGTTTTAACATAAAAATTGATTGAGATTTATTTACTAAATATGTATTTGCTCACCTGTGCAGCAGGCACCATCCTTCTTCGCACTTATGTGTCCCATTACGGTTTGCAAAGCATGTTCCTTGTGGACTCTCTCAGTTGAGCCTGTCTGATCAACTCTGTAACACCCCGGGCATTTTATAGATGGGAAACCTAGACCCAGAACAATGAACCGACTTACCAAGATTATAAATGACAAAGTCTAGATTTGAACTGAGGTTCATGGGCTTTAAAGCTTGTGACCTTAAACGATCATCACTTTCTTTGTTAAAAAGAAGGAAGCACTAAGTAAACTAGGGATCCTAAGGGACTTGATTCTCTTATTCATCATAATATTTTACAATTTATTTTTCAATTACAGTTGACATACAATATTATATTAATTCCAGGTGTACAACATAGTGATTTACATTTATATACCTTACATCATGATGTTTTAAAATGTACTTTCTCAGTTGTTTTTGGAAAATAACAAACTATAAATTGACATATCTCCTTTGTATTCCAAAAGTAAATGTTAAATGTGATTCTCTGATGGACTTAGTGCCCGAAGCCCAACATTATAAGAAAATTCTTTTTTTAAAAAAAAACAAACCCAAATAATCAAGCTCTGTGTGACTATTTATGTGTGTGCACCTGTATATACATTTTTGCAAATGATCCTTTTTAAGTGCCTCATGGTAGATAAGTAAGATAGATTTTTTTTTTTTTTAAAACCACCTGTGTTATTTTTCTAGGGTTGAGCTTCATAGAATGAAAATAATCCGACCAATGCCCGATGTGGGGAAATACACAATGATCTTCCACACCAGAGACCAAGGCAATGAGGTGAATATAGAACGGTAAGTCCCGGCTCCCTGTGCCTGGTTCGCTGCCTATTTAGTCCCTTCCGTCAGCAAGGACGCTGCTGAATCCTATCAGAGGAGCCAGCTGATTGTGCTCCAGGCTTTTTATTGAGGTCATTTTGAAACAGACACAGAAGTAGAGGCGCGGGATATCGCACCCTCTGGACCCCATTCCTGGCTTCTGCAGTTACCAGTTCATGGCCTCTCTTCTTTCTCCCACTTCTTTCTCCTCCCCCACTGGGTTATTTAGAAGCAGATCATAGACATCACAGCATTTCGTGTGTAAAAACTTCAGTATGTATTTTTAAAATATAACAAGTCTTTAAAAAAGAACCGCTCTACCGTTATCATACCTAAAATAAAATTAACCGTACTTTCTTAATGTCATCAATATCCGGTCAGTGTTCAGACGTCCCTGATTATCTCATAAATGCTTTAATTTAATCACTTGTTTTATTCCAATTAGGATCTAGACAAGGTCCATGCATTGTGTTTAGATGATCTTTCTGAAATCTCTTTTAATCCGTAGATTCCTGCTCCCCTCTTTTTTCCCCCCATTGCAATTTATTTGTTGAACAAATCAAGCCATTTGTCCGATGGCATTTCCTACATTGGGGATTTTGCCAATTGCATTCCGGTAGTAAAACTTAATGTGTGCCCCTGACCTCTGCATTTCCTTGTGAACTGGGACTTAGATCTTAAGATTTGACAGAGTCCAGTACTATTTTGGGGCAAGAACACTTCCTGGATGGTGCCATGTACCTCCTCTTGTGTCACAACAGGACAGGATGTCTGGATGTGTCTTTGTGATACCAGGATCTGTGGGGTTAGGTATTGTCAGGCCCATCTACTCATTGTGAGGTTCCCCATCAGTTTCTCACCTAATGATTTTAGCAGCCATTGCTGATTGTTGCCTAAATTTATGACTCAATTAGGGATTGCAAAATTCTGATATTTTGTCACACCTTCTGCATCTATTAGCCAGATGTTCCTACAAGGAAGGACTTGCCCTCTTTGTCTCTTTGAGTGCCCTGGGTTACCGTTCTTATAAAAAAGGCAGAATAAAGGGAAAGAATCAGCATTGCTCTTTCACTTTTCAAAACGATGAGGTGATGTTCCCTGGCATCCTCAGGGAACATTCTTTTCAGTGCTCAACTTGTCTCGTCTTTGGCAGATGAGATCTTCTTCATGCTGACTCCTGAATCCTTTGACATAACTACACTGATTTTGAGGGCTTCCTTCCCTGCAATCTGGTGTGATGAGCTGTTCTAGGCTCACCTTGTACTCTGTCCCAGGAATTAGCCCTTCCACTAAGGAATCCTGACAGATAAGCCAGTTCTTTATGGGGCTATGACTGAAGAATCTATATTTCTTTGTTCTGTCCCCCCTCCTTTTTTTTTAATCTTCACCTGAGGATATGTTTTTATTGATTTTTAGAGAGAGAGGAGGGGAGACAGAGAGAGAAAGAAGCATCAATGTGAGAGAGAAACATCTATCGGTGCCTCCCATATCCCCTCAACTGGGGATCAAACCCATAATCTGGGTGTGTGCCCTGACTGAGAATTGAGCCCACAGCCTTTTTGGTGTATGGGAAGACACTCCAACCAACTGAGCCACCTGGCCAGGGCTCCCCTAACTTTTAAAACAGCATTGAAGGCCTTTTGGCCCTCTGTTAAAGTCTACATTTTACAACAGTATTAGTGGCCTTTTAGCTAAATATTATAGGGCTTTATTAGAATCTGTATTTTAAAGCAATATTAAAAGGCTTTTTAGCTCTTTTGTTAGAATCTACCACTTTAACAAAACAACTATTTCTGTTTTTCATGTGTCTTACTGGTCTCTGTCCATAGGTATGCACTTTACTCTTTAAATAAAAAATAATAATTATTATTTTAAAAAAATATATCTTTATTGATTTCAGCGAGAGGAAAGGAGAGGGAGAGAGACAGAAACATCAATGATGAGAGTCATTGATCAAGCCCACAACCTGGGCATGTGCCCTGACCGGGAATCGAACCCCGATCACCTGGATCCTAGGTCGATGCTCAACTGCTGAGCCACGCCCAGCCAGGCTAAAAAATAATTATTGAGTAGACAAAAAAGAATACTTACAAATTATATGAAAAATCTGAAGATTCTTGATACCATGAACACTGGTGGTGTCCCCCACCCAATTTATGCCTGTTACCTGTGTGGCCCTTCCTAATTTCTTATCTGCCCCCCTCCCACGTTGAGAGGCAACAATTTCCTGAAATTTCTTGATAATTTGGGATCATTATAATTAGTTGTGCCATTTCTCGGTTTTCTTGTTTTCCCATATATTTGTATTGTTTAGTTTGCATGTTTTTCTATTTTACATGAAAGAAATCCTGCTGGCCTGGCTGGGCGTGGCTCAGCGGTTGAGCATTGACCTGGGATCCAGGAGATCATGGTTTGATTCCCCTGTAACAGCACATGCCCAGGTTGTGGGCTCGATCCCCAGTCAGGGGCGTGCAGGAGGCAGCCGATCAATGACTCTCATCATTGATGTTTCTCTCTCTCCCCCTCTCCCTTCCTCTCTCTGAAATCAATAAAGATATATTTTAAAAAAAGAAAAGAAAAGAAAAATCCTGCTGTATTATCTTCCTCTGACTTTATTTAGCTCAGCATTGTGCTTCCGACCTCCATCCACATTGTTCCTCTAACTGAAATGGATTGCTTTTCACTGGTGGGCTCTTAGAGACCAACTCGGGTCACGACCCACATCCCAGGGCTCCGGCCACACAATTACTTCTCCTTCAGATGCATTCTGCTGTTTTGCATGTGAGTGTGTCTTGCACAAGGTGGTTTCTCTTCCTGCGTATCCTTTCCCTCACCTTCTTCACTTAGTGAGTTCCTCCTCTTTTAAGCCTCATTCAAATTTTCCTTCTCTCCGATCCTTCTCCAGGCTCCGTCATGAAGTGAGGCACCCTTAATTCATTCTTCTCTATGTACATTCTAACTTTATTTGAGACTGTTGGGAGAGCTGTGTATCCTCCCTTCATACAGACAGTTTCCCCAATAACGTTGGAGGATTCATAGAGCCCCTGAAGCCTATCCAAGGACCTGTTAGCAGTGGATGACACATATCACATCATATCAGTGTTAACTATATGTCCTTCTGTCCTGTAGACCTGGCACTCGCCACATGCAAGTGTCATTATTATATGGCACTTTCCATCATTGGTCTCCAGGGTCTCACATGAGGTCTGGCACATGAACACATGGCTGTCATTGGTGCCTGTTACCTTAGATGGGGAAAATAAACATTTTTGCAATAAGAAACCCAACAGGTATAATAATTTACCAAGATGCTTTTGCTAAATTTTGTGGCAAGGCAAAAAGCAATGGAAATACATGTTAAATTCTTGTCTTACCCTTCACATTTGTTCTTTTTATCTTTAGGATGAAGCTCTTACATCAGGTGTCACGAGTCTGGAGAACAGATGGGCTGAGCAGTTGTGTTTATAAATTACTGTCTGTGGATTACAATCCTTTATATATCAACATCACAGTGGATTTCTGGTCTAACCCATGACCCTGGATTGTCTGGTGATGTTCGGAAGAGCTGAATATTTGATTGCAATAGTTTTGGCCTAGAGACTTCCCCTAGTAGCACACATTAAGAACTTGTTACAGCTAATTACCAAGCTGAACTTTTCCTTTTTTGTATTTTCTTAGCAGAGTTCCTGGTAAGATGGAATGTAAAACAGCTGTAACAAAACAGCTTTCTTAGTTGTTTTGATCATGAAGGTTAAAATATTGTAATACGGATACTCGAAGGACTGAATATGAAAGGAAGACTCAAAAGATATCATGCAGGCTACTTGAGAACACTAATTGAAGGAGATTTATTTAAGTTTGAAGTGATACATTGTGGGATGAAAAAGGCCACAGGAAATAAGATTGGTGAATATCACGGAGAACCAGAATTGTTCTCGGAGGGAGAAAGGTACGAAGATGTATTTCTCTTACTCATTTATCCTGCATGGTCATCTGTGAAGAGGTGGGTCCCACATGAGAAGACAGCAGCAGAAGAGGGGAGAGAGTTGGAGAACCAAGATGCAGCCAATCTGTGAATTGAAGAGGTGGTGGGAGGGCAGTGCCAGATGGAGAAGCAGCCCGGTTGTGCTGGCTGCTGCTAATGCTGTGCAGGTGGTGTCACCTGCCCGGACACGCCTTCCAGGAAGACCCCGGCAGAAAACGCATTGTCTACTACTTTTTAAATCATTTTTGTAAAATGATTTTGTACATGTAGCATTTGAATTAGCAGTTTGCAGATTACATAGTAACTAATAATACATTGGAAATACCTCTGCAGTAAAATATAAAAAAACCTTTGGGTGCCCAATCTTGTTTTTTACTGTTGTATGAGGCCTACGGATGTGTTTATTTCAGTATCCCTAATCCCAAACAGCTTAAAAACAAAACAAAGGAGACCAGACCTCCCACTCCTTCTGTTCTTCATCTCTGTTCCTCTCTCCTGTTCTTCCCGAGTACAGCCACCTTGTATAAGCAGCTCCAGGCGGGTGCCTCTGTGTCTAGTTTCCTGGGCCACCGCGTGGTTTTGTTCCCTTCATCGCCTTGTGCCTGTTCCTTTCTCGTGATCAGTGATGGATACAACAGGGCTGGCCTAAGGGGCACACCTGGTTGGTTATAGGACAGGAGGGGGGGAGCCCAGAGTTTGGAAAGCCTTTCATTTGGAAGGAAGGTGGGCTCATGGCAGGGATTTTAGTAGTGGCAGTGATTTGGGAGAGAAGCCACAGGTGCTGCTGAATTTCCTGGGGAGGGGTGGGGACGTGGGGGGATAATCTAAGGAAGGTAATAGGAAATAGATACTGAGTCAACAGGAAGAAAAGTATTTGTTTTTCATAGGTAAGTGGGCACATAAATAAGGTAGATGTTGATGTTCTTAAGCAAGTATTGTGCAACTGTGCTCCAGGGTCTCTCAAGTCGTCGTTATTATATGACACTTTGTTAAACTGGAGCATGAATGAGTGCCAGCCAAAAAGCGAAACTAATAATCCTTCCCAAACAGGGAGAGGGAGGGAAGGGGGCTCCCAAGAAAGACAGCAGTCACCACCCAAGTGGGGACGGAGAATTTGACAGGAAAATACACTTTATAGACATGATAGGTTTACCCAGGGCTGGCCTGGTTTACCTTTAACTCAGTAGGAACAAGTAAAAGTGTTTTGTTTTGTTTTTATTAGCACAGAAAGAATGAGGATTTTCGTGTTTTCCCCCTCTTGCTCTTCTCTCTTTTCTGCAGAATTTTTCTTTAGCATTCTGTTCCAATTTTCTTAATTATCATAACACACAGACTGAACTATTGTGATGGCTGATGGCCAATCTAGGGGTCCCCAGTCTGGAGGCTGTGGGTCCCTGGCCGTGGTTGAGGGTAAAGCAAGATAAAAATGTGTGTAAGGAATTTGAGGGTCCATATCCGAGAACCCCATTTCTCACTCAATGGAAGTGAAATACAGTTACTACTATGTGGAAACTCCCTGTGCATTTTCAGCTGAAACAAGGCACCTGCATTTTTTAAATGTTAGTAATCACTGTACTATGCCTATCACTATTCTTCAGATAATTCTTTCAACCAAGATAATGTACAAGTCATTTAAGTGACTCATTATGAAACTTCTTGAGGTGGAAGATAATTTTTTAAGACCTTTATTTCCCCCTGTGCCACTTGCCCTGCAGTGGGAGTCGGAGCCCCGGGACAGGCTGGAGGCCTGCGGCTGCTCTTTTATCACAGTTGGGCAGGGGAGTTTGGTCTCCAAGGAGCAGAGCTTACCCCCCAATTCCTGCCCTGTGTATTTTTCATTTTCAACTGCCACTAAGAGGCCACGTTTTTTGAGTGTTGTAGGTATGCCTACCATAACTGCTAAGGATTATATGGGTGCAGTCTGTTTGGACTTAGCATGAAGACTGGGCTACTTTAAAGTTTTTATTGTTTTTTTTTCTTATACTACCACTCATAGCACTCGATGGCTTGTATTGCTTTTACATGTACTCTATGGATCCTGCTGAATCTTGAGAGAAGTAGGCTAGATGAGGAAGTGGAAGTTAAAAACAGGTGGGGGACTTGCCAGACATCTCACAATTAGTAAGTGGCAGACTCAGGGCACAAACTCAGGTCTCTTGACTACAAGATCATTATATAATAATTCCCTCATCTGGGCTTCTCTCATTCTTTTTTTTTTTTAAATATAGCTTTATTGATTTCAGAGAGAGGAAAGGAGAGGGAGAGAGAGAGAGATAGAAACATCAATGATGAGAGTCATTGATCAAGCCCACAACCTGGGCATGTGCCCTGACCGGGAATCGAACCCCGATCACCTGGATCCTAGGTCAACACTCAACTGCTGAGCCAGGCCTGGCCAGGCTTCTCTCATTCTTTGGGTAGTTTTCCTGAAGCTATATCCCTGTCCTAGCTCCTAGAGAAGGTTGGTATCTTCTGGACCCTAAACAGTATGTTCCATTCTCATTTGGGCTCTCTCAGCTCTTTCCCAGACATTCTCCCTGGGTTTTTTTGCCCTTAGCACCCTCCCTTCCACTCAAGCTTCTATCAGACAGGTTTCCTGGGGGCCCAAAAATGCTCTGTGAATGACTCTTGGGTGAGATGAAACATTTTCTGCCAGACTCGAAACCTCCACTTTCCCCAAGTCCTATACATACTCAGTCCCTGTCAAAGGCCTTTAACATGTCCCACAGGATGGAGCATAGTCAGGTATATTTCATAATTTAGTTTTTGCCAATCACATTACAAAACTTCTTTTAAAAAGTCTATTCCTTAGTCCCTTGTGTATTTAAGCTACTGCCTCCTTGATTGGCTTTAGTACCCTGAAGACCATCCTGTACCTGCTGAGAGGGCCTGGTAGGTTTCGAAAGTATTCGCGGAGGTAGCAGAGAGGTCCCATCCCAGGAAGCTGCTTGTACAGGCAAAGGCTCCATTGCTCCATTGACAGCTATTGAAGTGAAAGTGCAAATAAAAGTGAACCTTGTGTGCGTGTGTGTGTGTGTGTGTGTGTAATTTTGGACCTTGGGGGAGAGGCTGGTGAACGGTGGGGCATAATAATAATTGAATGCTTGCTTCTTGTTAGTTAATATCCCTGTGTTTTGTATTTTAACTTTCCAATAGCCCTGTAGGAATATACATACTGCAAAGAGAAAACACATTCAAGTTAAGTAACTTCCCAAAGTCAGAAGAGATGAGACTTGAACCCAGGTCTCTCTTGACTCTAGTATCTTTTGTTGTTTTCTTTTCCCCTCAGAATATCACCTTGTCAGGAGATTATGAGATTTTTCTGTGAAGGCAGCATGGGCAGAGATCTTATTTATAGCTAAAAAATAGTACACAGAGCCCTGGCGGGGGGCTCAGTTGGTTGGAGCATCATCCTGGACACCGAAGGGTTGTGAGTTCAGTCCCCAGTCAGGGCGTGTGCAGGAGGCAACCGATCAGTGTTTCTCTCTCTCTCCTTCCCTCTCTTTCTAAAAATCAATAAAAACATATCCTCGGGTGAGAATTAAAAACCAGCAACACAGACCTTGAGATGTATCCATTAAAACGCCTTATCTTCATGACCCTGGTACATTCTTCCACTATCAAGTAGGAGTTTTGCTGAAAAGCTGTTCCTCATAACTATTGTTTGAGGGCCAATTAATTTGGACCAGTATATTTGGTTGTTAAACTTATTGCAATAAATTGAAGCAAGATGACATTAGTTGGCATGTTCTCAGTGATTATGGGCCAAGCAGAGTTCTTCAGACCAGATTTATGGTATAATTTCCTGCTGGTGTCTCTTCCAGGCTGTTAGCCATTCCAGCGCACGCTTTGCATATCTTGCTGCATCCTCTTGGCTCCGTGTGAGGATAGACATGTTTTCCTGAAGCAGTTTCTGAGAGGCCAAGTCACCTGCCAAAGTCATGCAGAGCTGGGATTTGGAGCCAGGTATTTGACTCCAAAATTCATGTTCTTAACTGCTTCATGGTAACAGACAACAAATACACAAAGAGAGGAAATAAGGAAGGGCAATTGCAGTGTCATGTCCTTCAAACAAAGACCCCCAGGAACACATCTGCAGATAAATAAATTGGGATTATGACTCATTGCAGTGAGTGAGAACATATCACATACCATGGGGAACAATGAAGTGTCTCAGGAAAAGGGAGCTAGAACCTACGCTAGCATTTGGGCTTGGGTCAGGCCATTGGTGGGGGGGAGGGGTCTGAGGAAGCGAGGCGGGCTCTGTATGCGATAGTCAGAGCTGTGCATCTCAATACATTTTATCCATAGGGAGGGACTAGTAGGAAAACAGAGCTGTAACAGGTAAACATGTAGCAGCCACTCACTTTAGCCCAGAAAGGGTGTGTGGCATTTTGTGGGGGGCACAGTGACCTTGTTTTTGTCTGTGCTTAGAGAGAATTATGAAGTGGCCTTGCTTTGCCCCGTTTTATCTTGGTCACAGAGGAACCTTATCTGAGGTTGGGATTCTATGACATTGTTTACGTCTAATAGAGCAGCAGGTCCTGGTTGTGGGTGCCAGGCCAGCTTCTGAATGTCAGGGGCTCCTCCTTTTTTCTTTTGCAAGAAGAACTCAGAGTAGAGGCCACTAGAAAGCAGGGCATGATGGCACCATTTCTCTTTAACCTCAGGATTTGGCTGTTTGTCTCCTTTAAGTGTGTGTGTGTGTGTGTGTGTGTGTGTGTGTTGGGAGTTAGTGGGGTGCTGGGGAGGGAAGGTTGGTTGGAGAAGGGTCTAGGAATTATGAATTTCTCAGGAATGCTGCCTTTCTCCAAATGTTTTTGGATTTCCTCATTGGATATGGCCACTTGAGCCTTATAAAAACATTACACATGAAAGCAAATTCAGTAGCTTACAAATAGCCTCCTCTGGCTTTCTTCTTTGATTTCATCTCACATATAGGATGTGATAAGGATCTGGGTGAGATGAAGAGGGAAGAGAAACTGGAGGAAATACTAGATACAGAAGGAGAAAAGAAATTGTTCAGTCAATAGAAATGAGAAACCAGCTCAGTTTCCAGTTCCTCAACCATAGCCCAGCTTGTGAGAGGAGATTAGATTTTCAAATTCACATGACTATTATTATTCCTTCTTTTCTTTATGGGTATCCAGAGAGTACCTGATCTGCTGCTCAGAATAGAAGCAGTTCTTATTGATTCCAGCTGATGGGGAAAAAGCTACAGAGCTGATAATATATATGAGCAGCAGGCTTTCCAATGTTCAGTGTAAACAGCTTGCCAGGAGCCTGCGTAGCAAGCTGGGGAGCAAACGGCCAACCGAATGACCCGCTGGTGTTGCAATCAGGGAAAACCTGCCCAAAGTTAGTCTGACACATTTCTGGTGTTAGGTAATAAGTTTTCCTTGCCCACTTGATACGCAGGTGGACAGACTGTTGGAGAAGTCCAAGTTTCATAAGATGGCTTTGTCTGGGCCTGCCTTAAGTCCAGCAACCTGCCAGCAGCCAGGCTCTCCTGCTCTCTTCCCCCTCCCTGGTCTGGTGGGGCTGGAGGTGTCTTTGGTGAGGCTGGGCCTGGGCCTCACCCTGAACACTCGTTTGGGTCTCACTGTGAATCTCCCTTCAAGGAGTGTCAGATGCCAGAAGGAAACGGGGGAAGGCTGGGCTTCCAGGGAAGACAGAGGGGGATGGAAGCAGGAAGCTGCCCTGAGGCTCAACTGAAGGCTCTATGGCAGGAAGCACAGAAGTCCCGAATGGCTGGACCTTTTGTAGGAGAATCCTCAGGCTGGGCCTGTCTTAGCTGAAAGGTGTGTTCTCCCTAAGCGTTGGTGGCCTGGACACAGTGGGTACCTGAATTCAGGGCCTCATTGTCTTTGGGAGAAGCAGAGCCTGCCCACATACATCTACAGTGGGACTGGCACCTTCTCTGAAGGATGAGGCTAAGGTTCCATGTAGGATGCTGGCTGGAGGGAGGTTGGGCAGCTGCTAACGGAAGACTCATTCTCTTTCTAGTCACTTCTCGGTAGAGAAGGTAGGTGGTAAGATTTAAGGAGCAGCAGGTGGACCACCTTACCTCACATGGCTGCCTAGGATTCCACCAACTAGAGATCAATTTCAGTTATCAAGGAAAAACCTGTAGAGAAGATGAAGAGAGTGGGGACTAGTTGTCAATCACCCCTTAGTATGAATTAGTTTTCAAAAATGGTTTTATCTTAACCTAGCTGAGATCCAGTCACAAGAAGGATAGAATTTTGCATGTGAAGCATGAAGCCCTGGAGGGAAGGCAGGAGTGGGCAGGATTTGCTCAGCCAGTGGAGAGCATGAGGACAATGGAAAACCTAGTTAGCGCTGCAAGAAAGGGCACCAGAACACAGGAGAGAGAATGGAAAGGGGGGTGGGAGAGAGGCATTTCAAAGCTTTGCCCAGAGTAAGTTTCTTCTCTCCCCTCCCCTCTTCTGAAAGACCCCAGACAACCTTCTCAGCCAACCGCAGGTTTCATTTTTCTTGACATTCAGGCTCTGGCCTGGAAGATAAGGTGAGACAGGGCAGGACAAGCTGGATGTGTGTCAGGACATAAGCCTTTAGCCCCCTGTCCTGGGAATCACGGATCAGGCTGCCGCCTCAGGTGCACAGCAGAGGCTGCCCCACGCTCCTCTCTGGTCTCTCCCTCTCCCAGGGCGCAGCCTAACTCACAGGAACCTGGTCAGGGGTGTGGTGCTGGGGCACTCCTTGGGACTGTGTCGGCTGGGAGGAGGACCCTGAAGTGACAGGTACATTTTCTTCACAGGAGACTCTGGGTAGTTGGAGTCAGAGATGCTTCCACTGCTTCCAGGCCCAGGAGGAAAAAGACTTGAGCAACAGCTCCATTACCGCTCTGGGCTTAAGTGTAGCAAGAGCAAAAGTAAAGGTAAACGTGGAAGTTCTAACCATTTAACTGCACAACAGGGCCGCTGGTGTCCAACAGGAGACCGCACCCTGCTGCATCTTCCATCTCCTAAACTCAGTCCCCATGAGCCTAATATGCTCTTCTAATAGAAAACCCATTTTGTTAGACTCATCTATGACCAGTTAGGATATTGATAAAACAAAAGAAAGTGAACATAGTTAAAAGCCCTTTTTATTTATAAGACAGATGGTGAGTTGTATGAACTTCCTTCAGGGCCACAAATGGAAACATAGCTCAGAAGGGAAATATTTTGATAGTAAACAGAAATCACCATAAACCACCCCTCTAATAGCTGGTTGCTTCTCCTTTATTTGAAAGGTGTTTCCAGTAGAGACTGGTAAATATGTATAACAGGCAACAACTTTGTCCCCAAAAGTTCACATACGTTTAATTAATGGGAGGTTGAGGTCACCAAACACATATCACTCTACAATGTACGAGAGGAAATTTCAGCCACTGTTAACTCAAGATTGGGCATTGCCCTGGAGAGTAAAAGGACCCGCAGGTGGCATTAAAAGAACCACCTGAGTCTCCGTATATGGAAGCCACCCCAGAACAAAAGGCAAAAGATGTATCTCGGCCCCTTTTCCTTAGTTCTTTCACATGGACAGTACTGAGATGAATGAAAGCCTTCAAAGGGGTCTTTTAGAAAGTAGTGAGAAATACAGGCAGATTTGCTGTCCAAATACAGATTTGGCTAGCTGTGATAGCACAGGTTCCTATGAATGTCTTTATGCTCCCAAATTAAAAAATAAACCAGGGTGAAAATAGTTATTACCTACTTTCCAAATTCTCCCTCCCTTATAGTCAGTAAAAATGTTGCAGAATCCTAGACCTGGGTGAAAACGCAACTGGTGAGAATTCCAGGAGCCTGGGAGCCTGAAGGAGCTCCAGACCCGCTGACCCGGCAACTTGAGTGAGAACGCGCGTTCCTGTGGGTCAGCGCGAAGAGTAGGAGAGCAGTCCAGCGCCAAATCCAGAGTCCCTGGGGGAAGGTGGGACCGCAGAGACACTGTATTCTTAATACTCGATTCTGCTCCAGTAGAACATGGTACCCAGGAGAACCCAAAACTAGAATACAAAAGAAAAAAACACAAATTAAAACGTTAAGGAATTGGTTGAGGAACAGCTCATATTTTGGGGGGGAAATGAAGTTAGGTTCATTCAGGCTTTGAGACACTGGATTTTTTTTTTTTAAGTTCCTTTATCTTTATTGTTGAGAATATTACAGGTGTCCCCTTTTTATCCCCACTGATCCCCTCCACCCCACATCCATCCCACCCGCAGGCTTTCCCCACACCAATGTCTGTGTCCATGGATTATGCTTATAAACATATAAATTCTTTGATTAACCCCTCCTCACCCCCTCCGCCCCTCCCCGCCTTCCCTCTGAGATCCCTCAGTCTGTTCCATGCTTCCATGTCTCTGAATCCACTTTGTTCATCACTTTATTTTGTTTATTATATTCCACATATAAGTGAGGTCATGTGGTACTTGTCATGTGGTGCTTGTCATGTGGTACTTGACACTGTATTTTTAAAGGTAATCTTCCCTTAAGCAGCATCAATCATTTCTGTGTTAAACTAGCCCCCTGGGAAATTCTTCCTTCTTCCCATCAGGGCTCATTACCCTCTAGTGGATTCCTACTTCTAGTCTGTATTATTTTGGAATCTGAGTTTCTTGCTTCTAGTATGAACTTCTCTTCCCAGGGGACTCTCTTTTTCCCAAAATGCTTGTGACCTGGAACAGCTGCCCCCAAGGAACTCAAGATATTTGCCTCAGGCAGGGGGTTAGAATATCTGGGTTCTGTGGCAGATCTGCCACTCACTCCCTGTATCTGTAAAGTAATCTAATAGGATCTTCATCAATCCCAGAGTTAGAAGATTGAATGTGATAGTGAAGTAATAATAATAGTGTTTAATGTTTATTGATAACTTACTATACATCTAGGCATTATTCTAATTGCTACACATATATCTCAATTTAATGCTTCCAAAACCCCATGAACAAACTGAGGCACAGAGAAGATAAGTGACTTATTCAATGTCATAGAACCAGTAGGTGGTGAAGCTGGGTTCAAGCCCAGGCAGAAAGCCTCAGAGTTTACCTGTTTAACTGCTATGGGAAGTCCTTCCTTAAGCAGCAGTAAACTGGACATGCCCAAGAGCTGAAGCCTGTTGAATTTCTCTATTCCTTGTCAGGTAGGAGTCTGGCTACCTTCCTAGCTACTGTTGTAGAGATGCAATGTTAAAAGTATTTGACATGATGCCTTGTCTATAGAAGGCCTTCAATAGATCTAGTTCCCTCTCCAATTTTGAACTTCAAGGGGATGTACATGATCCAGAATCCAGTCCATTTGATGCTTGCAGAAATATCAAAGGTTTCAGCTGGCCTGGAGTTCTAAGATCCTCAAAAGCCTTTAAACATTAGCCCATCTAGTTCTTGCTAATATGGCACAATAGAAACTTCACTGTTGTAATTTTTCATTTTTTTCAACAGGTTTCCAAGCACTAACTGTATGCTCTTCTAGGCACTGGGGATACAAAAAGCAGCTGGTTGCCAGGCTTTAGGCAGAGACAAACACCTCACAGAGGAGCAGTTCCCAGCTAGAAGTGTGTGCAGGGTGTCGTGGGGGTGCCTGAGAGGGTGGATTGAGGGGGCATAGAAGATCCCTCAAAGGAGGTGATTTTCCCTTCCTTCCTGCCTCACTCCACTTCTCACTCCAAACCCAAATTTCTTAAAGTGTGGTGCACAAACACCTGATGGGCCCTTTTAGGGGTCCGTGTTGCAAGAATATTTGTATAACAGTATTAAGATCATTTGCCCCGTTTCACTGTTTTCACGTTTGCTTGGATGAAGCAAAGGCAGTGGAAGGTAAAGCTGCCGGCATCTTAGCATGATTCAAGGCAGGGGCACTAAGCTGCATTAGTTGTCACTGTGTTCTCACTGCTGTGCACTTGCAGAAAAACAGCCGGTTCTACTTGAGATTGTCCTCAATGAAGCGGTAAGAATTACTACTTTTATTAAACGCTCACCTCTGAGCACACACCTTTTTGACATTCTGTGTGACAGAAAGGAAGAATGCAGAAAGCAGTTTTGATGCGAACTGAAACATGATGGCTGTCTTGAGGAAAGGCACTTGGGTGGTTGTTCGAGTTGTGCACTGAACTGGGTATCTTTTCAGAGAACATTGTTTTTATTTTGAAAAAAATAACTAACAGACAAGATGTGGTTATTTAGAGTTGGGTGTTTGGCAGACATGCTCTGGAAAAGTTACAAAGTGAGTCTGCCACTTTGAGGGGAAAAACTGACAATATTTGTTGCCAGTAATAAATTTGAACTTTCAACAAAAACCATAAAACTTGTATTTGTCACCACGGGCTTGATAGCATCCCCATGCTTAAGTTCTTTTCCTCTGTGGCAATATCAGTGAATGCGATTTCTTGGTATTGCATAAAGAAATTCATCAACATTTGGAAGATCTCTACAACGAACCAATATTTCCCCAGATAACCAATGCATGATTTATAGAATCGTGCACAGGTAAAGATTTATGCTGAGTATAAAGACAGACAAATGTAATGTATTCTGATGTAACAGAGTCTGAAAAGTTCATTGGCATAGTTTTAGATTCCATATTGCAACTAACTCTTAAGAATACTACTTGGCAGGTTTTGTGTAATACCAAAGAATATTCACACTTATATTTAGGTAAGGCCATTGAAACATTCCTGTTTTTTTCAACTGCTTATCTGTGTGAGGATGGATTTTCTTCAAATCCTTCAACTTAAGCAACATATTATAATAGATTGACTGAAAAAAAAAATGTGAAAATCCAGCTGTCTGCTATGAAGCCACACACTGAAGAAAGAGACCTTCAGAAATGTAAAACAATGCCACTTTTCTCACTATTTGTTTTGGAAAACAGTCATTTTTCCCCACAAAAATATATTGTTAATGCCAACATACAATTGGTTTGTTATTTTATTTTATTTATTTGTTATTTTAAATGAATTAATAAGTATTTTGACATTTCCTTGTTACTTTCCAATAGTGTAAGTATTGATAGAGATAGCCCCATAGAAAAAAGCTCTATGGAGACCGCAATCATTTTTTGAGAGAGTAAAGGGGTTCTGTAACCAAAAGTTTAAGGCTGCTTCCCTAATACAATGATTCTTAATCCTATAGCAAATTAGAATCATCTGGAAATTTTAAAAAATGCCTGTGCCCTGCCCCTAGATCAACTGAATTAGAATCTCAGAGGTTGGGGTCCTGGCATGCTTTGCTTTTTCAAGTTCCCCCAGGTTTTTATGGGCAGCCAGGGCTGAGACCATGTCCCCACCCTCTTGCTGCATGTGCATCCAGTAACGCGGGCAGTGGGACAGGTGAGACTGGCGAGGCAGCTCTTTGGAGGCGCTAGGATTATTGTCTGGTGGCAGCCATCTAGATAGATATCAGTCTTTGCTCTCTCACTATAATGAATTAATGAGATTTGGAGACCTGGAGGAGCAGGCAAGTGCATCCCAACCACCCAGAAGAAGGATCTGGTGAGCAGGGCACATCCTTTCATTGGTAGGGGAAGGCAGCTCCCCACCTCCTCTGGGACTCCACTGTCCCTGCTCAGGTGCCAGCAGCTCCCTGACTAGCCTTCAGGTCCAAGGCTTTGTTTCCAGACAGTCTAATGAGGCTGGGCTAACCAGGGACAATCTGAAGGCCTCTTCTTATCATGGTCCTCTCAGAAATAAAGCATGTGCCAGGAAATACTCACAGTCCAGCAGAGAATGGCAAATCCAAACCAGGCAACCCCCCAGGCATGCCGGTTCATTGGTCCCGAGATCAGGTCGTAGCAGCCCTGGAGGAGTGGGTGAAGCCGCATCGGTGGAAAGGAACCAGAAAGAAAGATGTAAGGGATGGGCAGGGGATCAAAGTCCAGTTCAGTGTCACCAGGCTATTTCCACATCCCCATGGACAGCCAGTTATTAACAGTGCTTTGTCCAGAGAGTAGAAATAATCCTGTTGAACAAACTCTTCTATATCACATTTATCCATGTCTTTATCGTTCAATCTAATCAACAAAGGTAGTGCTATTTTTTTTTTTTTTTTTTTTTTAAAT